ACAGGTGCGACGAACAAAAACCAGCTAGTAGCTTATCCCTAATTTTAATTCGTATACGAAAATACGGGGATGACAGTGGATGAACGTAAGTCCTGCGAACTTCAAATACCGTCGATCTAGCGCAGAGGTCTGATTTGCTCTGATATATTCAGGCTGTAGTCATCCAACTGCGCAACTTCAAAAGAAGCAAAAACAAACTTGAGCGAACCACACTTAGTCAAGAAGTATACATACTTCCAGCTATGCTAACTACGGAAGGACCAAAGCCGAAGTAGGCTTTCCGTACAAAACCGTATCAGTCTGATTTTTCCAGTTCTGCTTTAACCATCTGCGAAGCGCCTCTGCAGGTCGAGTTAGGAGTGTTTTTGGAGGAAAAAAAAGACGACTGTAAAGTTTTTTCAGCGGTCAAACGGAGAGTTACGTATGAAATAAAAGGTGAAAGGTAATTTATGCATAGAGTGCTTTGTTATCCAATAATAGGACATTTGAGCAATTTGAGGGTTTTGTTCGTTTGCGTTCAATTTTTTGATCCAAAAAACATTCATGACTCAGCGTATAACGCTTGGCAGTTAATAAAGACAATTTTGGAATAAGCGTGCAATCCCCTTTAGACTGATAATGATTTCATATGGAGAGTTTATTTCGACTTTGAGTCCTTCCACTGGAAAACGCTGGCGGAAGGTTGGTATGAGTTCTCGGACATGGAAATCACGGATATTTCGAAGAACAGAAGCGACTCATTCAAGCAGAACTTACGATTTTCGCCAATGTTCGCCCCTTCCTCGATAGAAACCTCCACCACGTGGTCTGCCCCGATTATGAGGCGGGAACGCATTGTTTTGAAACTGCGAAGATGGCTGATTGTAAAATTCCTTGTCTCCATCTGCATATTGTTCTTCGCCATTATACTGCTCTGAAAACATTTCGGAATACGAATTACTTCCGAATGAGGCCAACACAATGCTTTACCATAGTCAGAAGAGCCAGATTTCGGGTAATCTATATGCGAAGGCCCTTCCTCAGCATACGGGGGTTGCCTCGGGATCGGTTGCTGTTGATGATAATTGGGAACAGGAGCTAGAGGAGCAGGAGCTAGAGAAGCAGGAGCTAGAGAAGCAGGAGCTAGAGGAGCAGGGGGAGGTTGCTGCACTTGATGGTAATTTGATGCAGGGCCAGCAGCATGAGCAGCTGGCTGAAGTACGGGCGGTTTCATTCGTTCATCCACATCTCCAAATCTTTGCGGCATAGGAGGCGGAAAATTGGGCTGCAGATAGTAGTTTAGAAAACAACAACACATAAACGAAAATGCAAAACTCACTGATGCATTCTGTGTTTTAGTAGACGCCGCGGCAGCCGCTGCCGCTGCCGCAGTAGCTTGCTGTATAGTTTGAAGGCTGGGGATAGATTTCAGAAGGGCCTCAAAGGTTGTGATCAGTGGGTTGAACAATTGTGGACAAACTTACTTGGATGTTAGGAGGAGGTTGGGAGGTGAGCGAAGGAGGTAACACAAGATTCGAAGGCTGCTGAGAAACAGCTGGAGGGTAGCCTGGAGGCGGCTGGCTAGAATTCGGAGGTGGTACCGACATGTTCGCTGGAGGAGCAAAGGCTGCTTGCGAAGTTCCAAATCCTTGGGGTAGCTGGAATGACGGAGCTGTGGAAGTGGAAGGAAGAACACCTGAACGAAGATGCTGCTGAACTGAATTTGCAAGACACTAGTTTACCAGCATTCCCATTGGATGTCGCATGAGATGGTGCTTGTTGACCACTACCAAGTG